ACTGACTACTGTAACACTCTCTGTATGTGGTACAAATGTGACTGACTGACTACTGTAACACTCTCTGTATGTGGTACAAATGTGACTGACTGACTACTGTAACACTCTCTGTATGTGGTACAAATGTGACTGACTACTGCTGTATCTTGCTAACTGGTGAAACATGTTGAGAGTTTGTAACAGTCTGCAGTCTTGTTGGTTTCTCCTGAGAAAAATGATTGATCATTTGCTGACATTATCTAGTTTCTTCCCCGTTCCTATTTTGCATATATTTATATATAATTGTGAATTGTATTTTTGTCAACTTTTTTGTATTTGGCAACAACTGACGCTTGTGCTGCTGTCTTTGTTTTGTTTCAACTTTATTCAGGCATTATTGGAAGTTGATTTGATTTGTCAACATGTATTTCTCCTTCCTCCAGCATACATTTATGTGATTGATCAACTGTGTCCAAAATGCATTAGTTCCTTCAGGGAAACAAAATATGTTATATATAGATCTATATGTGTGTGTGTCACGGCGTTGTGGAGTCAGGCTCTCGTCAATTTTTGGGCGTGCAGAGTTATTGGTATTATCTGAAAGCTGATTTATTTGCCTTGCTGTCAATAAAATAAGTATCCATCTATCTTGAACAGAAGTGGAGATTTAGAAGTTGGGATATTTGAGATTAAAGGAAGTGGGATGGCCTGGTTTCAGTTGTGAAATTAGGGAGAAAATGGTCACCAAAGTTTGGTAACTCCAATAGCTAAAGAGTCCTTGAAAACCAAAAAAAAAGACTTATTTTGTGCCTTTAATTAATGTTTTTCAGTAAAATTCACATGGAAATATGTTGGTTTTTTTGGACATAAAGGAGGTTGAGCCTCAAATAAAAATTCTATACAACTTTCCAAATTTGGGGGAAAATGCCTGTTTCTCCAATTTCTGTATTTTGACGCGCGCCTGGTTTCACCACGATGACTCACATATATAAATATTGCTTACTGCTTTTTGTTAGGAGTTTTTTCCTCTTCAGCATTTTGATTACCGGTAGCATTGACTTTTGTTTTGTTTTGTTTGTGGTGATGGCACAACACCGTGATGATGTTTGCCGTGTGCTCGCTAAATGACAAGCTTTCCTCTGTGCCATTCCCACTGTCTGTCCGTTCTTCTCCTCCAGAATCTCCTGTAGGT